CCCACGTCCTCCCCCGGCCGCATGCAGCCACGAGGCGTCGCCACCGCTCACGCCAACGCCCACCTTCAGCAGCCCCGCCTGCAGCACCCACGACGTCGACCCCTTCCGCCCGCCCGCCGCCGCGACGGAGCGCGCCAAGGCGCCGCCCTCCACCGTGGGCGCGCGTGGGGGCGCTGCCGTCTGCTGTGGCATCAGCGCTGGCGGCGGCGGTGGCACCGAAGCAGGTCAGGTCCATGCTGTCTTTTCGCTTTGTGTGCAAGCACGCACGTGCGCGTACGCGCGCGTGTGTGTGCGTGCGTGTGTGTGTGTGTGTGTGTGTGCACGTGCGTGCGTGTATGTGTGTGTGTGTGTGTGTGTGTGTGTGTGTGTGTGTGTGTGTGTGTGCATGCGTGCGTGCTGCCTAAGCACATTCCGTCTTAAACCAAGTCTCAACAACCCCGTGTTTCAACGTCAACCCTGCGCTTTACCTCTCGGTACTCGTCACCGCACATGCAGGCTCGGCGGGCCTGCTGTCCGTCCCCACGTCGTGCTCTTGTCCCGAGACGCTCGGCACTGCGCCGCTGGCGCATCAAGACGTGTCCAGCCCGGCGCGCGGTGAGGGCCATCTTGACCCGAGCTACGAGCCGGCGGGAATGGCGGCAGACAGGCAGTCCAGCACAACAGGCAAGAAGGGTTGCTGAAAAGCATAGTCGTAATTGCTGCATGTGCATGGCTGTGTCCGCGCCGACGATCATGTTAGATAGGGGTGCATAAATGCACGCCGCCTCAGAAAGACGCGCCACAAAGCAGGGCTTTTCATGCATTCATGTGTGTTCAACACGCCCACCCCTGGGGCACGTCCCCTTGCAGCCGCAGGTGTCCCCGTGCAGCGGGACTGCTTCTCAGCAGATGGGACGTGCAGCCAGGCTGCCACTCTCACTGGACGCAGCAGCCCGAACAGCGGCGGTGGCAAGGGCAGCAAAGGTTCCACTTCATGACTTTTGGGCAGCGGCCCAGCTTCCGTCATTCATGGCAGCGCGCAAGTTCAGCTGGCTGCTTATTGACTCGTGTAAGATATGATCACAACATCCATAGCCACCCAAATGCAGTGGGGCCATGTTGCACAAATTGTTTTCCAGGAGCATTTGCACTTTGCAGAGGCGTTTGTTGGTGCAAGTCATTTTTGGGCTTGATGACCGTCGGCTTCCTTGCATCACCACGCTCGCTTGCATGCATGCCACTTATGTTTAGGCAGTACTAGCATCTGGTTTCAAACCCCCCGACCTCTCTACAAGCTACAAGGCGGGTTGGACAGTGTGTAATGCACCAACACCAGTATACTGCCATCAGGTGTTGTCAAGATAAAAATTGGGATTGGATCGTTTCAGCGTGCCGTGGTCGCGCGCTTCTGGAGCCAGGCAAGCTCCTGGGATCGGATTTTGAAGCATCAACGTTGTGTCACTGGGGTTGAGGTGGCAACCGTCCGCGCCACACAAAGCAGCCATGTGTGATCGAAGACCCCTAGTACATGCTGTTCTGCACAACGCATGGAGGTTTGCGTGCGGTTTTGTGTAGCTGTTGTTGAATCCGCATCTTTTGTACAGACAATAGATACTGGTGTGCAGCCATTTGCAGATTGCCAAGGATCTGCATTGCGTTGCACCTGTTACAGAAGTTCAGATGCAGATCATGTGGCCAGACACAGAGTGCAAGGATTTGGCAGACACACAGATACCAGGCAGGGCTGCAGCCAAGGGAAACCCCAAGAAACCGCCATCACCCAACCTGTCAGTCAACACAGGCCACATTATGTGTTTCAGTGGCGGCTCCTGCATGGGGGTCTTCCCTGCAGAGCTGCCCAGGTGTCGCACTGGGCGTCGGGGGCCGACGGACTCGCCGAGGCGGTGTGCTGCGGCAACGTGGCGTGCCGTCGTCCGCCGACCGCAGGTGAGTCCGCGACCGCCGCTTGGTGCCTGGAGACGGTCCAGCACGCCCTCCTTAACTGCCCTGCAGTGCGGCCCGCCCTTCAATGGCTGGCCGCACAGTGGGTGCGAATCGAGGGGGGGTGGGGGCCCTCCACCCACAGCCGCGGTCTGGCTGTTTTTTTTATACATGTGAAGTTACACGAGAGACTGACGACACCTGCGCAGATGCGGCCGCCCGAGCCCGCCCCAGACACGGCGTCGCC